TTCAAAAAAAAAAAAAACAAAAACTTGGGACCTAAACTAGAAGTTAAATAATCTATTTTTTTACCACTATTGAGTGCTAAGCAATCTTTCCTTTAGATGTATTCCAGCCAAACGTTTTTTCCCCCAAGAAACATTTCATTGAGAAAGCCATGCAGAATAAAGTTATTAAAGTCTTGGTTGTAGAAAAGTTTAGGCAGGTATACAAGAAAGAGCTAAAAGGTCTTCTCAAATCCTAAGATTTCTCTCAAAATTATTAATGGAAGAGAATTGTATTTGGGTCTCTCTTTTGGATTCAACCACAACTATTGAGTTTTTCAAGGACCAAGGTCCAAAGAAAAATTTTGATTTTCTTAGGAATCTAAGCTCTCCAAACGCACAAGAAAGTAGTTAAAAGAATACCTTGTTGGGCTATTTTAAAGTTTCTGAAAAGTGAATTTCAGGAAAAAGGTTAGGTACCAGTAACACAATTATCGCAATTCTCCACTTATCAAGAAACAGAGCCGCTCTGTAGTCTCTTCATTGTTAAGATATCTTCTATGACCAAGCTCCCATTCCACATATCATAAATTCTCTTATAATGTGAATTTAAGACAAAGGAAGGTATTAGAAATCTTGAGGTAACCATCTTGCCAAGGTTTGCTTCTACTTCCATCCCCAACCTTGAGAAAGAAGCCATTCTCACATGAATTTCGTGACTAGATATGAAGTTCATGGAGTTACTGCAACTGAGATAGTTGTTGCCTGTAAACCAACCAAACCGATTGCTAACATGCTTGGCCGTAATCTACTTCCATCCTCTTCATTAAGTCTTTACCACAAAAAGTTCCTTATAGCTGTTTCGGAAAGTTTTTAGAAATGGAAATAACCATCTAAGTATCTATGAAATTATCTCATTTCCTATCTCATAAAATAAAAGAAAAAGGGAATAAGCGATGGGGATGTTAAAAACAATAGCTCCAACCTAACCAATTCCTTTCAGTTTCAGTTCAATGAAGTCGATATTATCTTGAATGTCCCAAATCAAAGTACCCGTCCTGATCATAAGAGCAACTATATCTTTTTAAAAATACAATATTATTATATTTCCTTTCTTATTGATGACTTTCATATTGTATCTGACGTACATAACAGATGCTGTGTGCTTTATCTGTAGTACACGGTTATGTTCGTGCTAACTTATCTGGCACTGAGCGCTTCTCTATGGCAGCAGGCAGTTGACCTTTGTGGAACCATCCATGATGTAATGAAGGTGTGGAATCGGCATATAAAATTGTTTCCACAGTCTATTAGACCAATGTCATATGAGGACCCTATTCCAGGGACAGAGGCCTTAAGAATTACCAAGGGAGGAAAACAAACAGCAGATACTACTGTACCCAACCAGCCAATCAACGATGGTGATTTTGATCCATCAACTCAGCTCTCTTTAGAAGACAATAAACAGTCTCCGTTAGAAAGCCAAAACTTCCAGAATGACCAATCTGCCAATGGGAATGAACCAACTTCCTACTCACTCGGAAATCACAATATCGATATGAAGGAGCCTACAATTGACCATATTAATTCTGTAGAAGCTGAAATTAGTGGACAGGCAAGAGTGCAGCAGACTTCTCCAAAAGTTCCTGAGCATTATGGAGAAGGTGGAAATGGGGTTGAATTATCACCAATGCCTGTGGACAACTCAAAAGAAGATGACTATGGTCATGGTTTGGGACAGAGCTTGAAAAATATTTCAATTGGGAATCTTTCTTTGAACCCAAAGAATAATGACAAAATAGATTTACTCCCCAAAGCATCTCACCAAGGGGAAGCTCCATTGGAAAACAGCATGTCTAGTGAAAGTGTCAGCGATACAGATGAAGGGGCTTTGATGCACAACCCACTGGGTATCAGATCTTCCGGTTCCATCCGGATTTCTAATGAAGTGGCTAGTCCATCATCGTCTCCGAGTCATGATAAACATATACACACCCAAGAACCTTCACGGTTTCACATGCGTGGAGCTGAAAATAGGAAATGGCACCATAAACGTAATGCTGGTAACTTCCATCGTGAATCCCAACACCATTTTCCGGGACATTCACGAAGAAGGCCTCATCGAACGTGGCAAGGTTCTCCTCAAGACTACCAAGGAACTAAATCTGGTCAAGCACCAGATGGTCAAGATTATACTTCTGATTCTATTGCTTCACAAAAACCACAAATTGAACGAAGCAGCCAAGAACACAATCAGATTCAATCTGCACAGCAGCAGAACTTCCCCACTACTTCTCAGTCTCAACTTCCTTCTCAAGGTTTTACTCAAGAGAAGTCTCAATATCTTACCCCAAATGACGAGCAATATGGTCATTGGCAGAGTGGTCAAGCCCCACATACCTATGAACAGATGTGGCAATATTATTACTACCAGCAGCAGCAGCAGCAGTATCTTTTGCAGCAGCAGCAATTTCAACAATCACAGATTTTTCAGCAACAGTATCACCAGCAGCAACTGCAAATGCAACATCAATATTTGCAGTCTCAACAACAATATCCTTATGAGCACGTGCAATTACAGCAGCAATATCAAATTCAGCAGCAATTGCAACAAACTCAGCAACAGCAGCATTTACTCAGCCTCCAGCCGCAAGCAGTCTCCCAGACAGAGCAGCAATTATTTCAACAACATGAGCATCAGCCAGAAGAACTGGAGGAAGAAGAACAAAAGCCACACATGAAGCAGATTTCTTCGTTGTCCATTCAGATGCACACTGGTGGCCATGATCATCTGGTATGTTTCTGAGTATAGA